TTAGTTCCAGGAACTAAGTCAATCTCATGACGTACACCTCTATCGGGAGGTAAGGCAGAAGGTGGGTTGTGACACCACATCTTGAAATTCCCAAACAAAAGGATAGAACGGATCCAAAGGATCTTTAAGGATCGAAGATCCACTTCGCGCACTAATTGCCGCCTTTGTATCCTCTAGGACAGCCTCATCCATTAACGAGGAAGAGTTCAACTCAGTATCAGGTCTAATGACCGCTAATTCGGATAACTCATCCGCCTTCAAGGCCTGGCTAAACTCGCCATCAGACATTTCGTCTAGCTCACAAAGAGCGCCCACAGATGGAAGGGTTTCAAGGCAAACACTGCCATCAACCTGACCAGTCACTCCGTTAACAAGTGTATATAGTGTATTACTAGTATCACTATGTGACTGTGAGGACGCCTGGCGCTTAAAAGTTGCTACCCGGCGTCTCGATCGTCTCTTCGAGACCTAACACCCCTTAGGGGTCGGGACGATATTGTCCCGATGGTTACTACTAACCATAGTACGCTCTATACGAGAGCTTTTGTCGTGACCGACATCCGGTGAAGTGTTACATAACTCGAACACTTCACCCAAGGATTTAAACGTGCCACTCCACGTGTATTATGCGGGTCTAGCCCTAAATTTAACGACGTCTCGCCAACAATATTTTTACCGACATTAGGTGTGGTGCCCTCACGGCCGCTCACACTATACAGCGTATCGCCAACAACGCCATCACCGAAGTTAGGTGTGGTGCCCTCACGGCCGCCCACACTATACGGCGTGTCGCCAACAACGCCATTACCGAAGTTAAGCGTGGCGCCTACACGGCCGCTCACACTAACTGGCGTATCGCCAACAATATTACACCTGACATTAGGTGTGGTGCCATCACGGCCGCCCACACTATATGGCGAATCGCCAACAACGCCATTACCGACGTTAAGCGTGGTGCCTTCACGGCCGCCCACACTAAATGGCAAATGGCCAACAATGTAATTGCCGACATTTAGTGCGGTGCTCTCACGGCCGACCGCACTCGGTGTAGTTCCACGTGCCACCACACACACATCAAAGGAATCACATCCTTGATAACTCGGCTCTAGGCCAACCATGGTTTCAGCATGCAGTGACTCGTTATCACAACGAGTAACACTCAACGGAGTACGTGCCGTTTCACTAGTTTCAGACGAGCTAGGCTCGAAACTTATGTTTGTAACAAAGGAGTTATATAACTCAGACATTCCAATATCCACCACATTGACATCTTCTGTCAAAGGCTCGCGCCAATAGCGCTTCTGTTGCCTAGCGAAGGTTGTTTCATGAATCTCCAAAACTTCGCTAGGAACATTGCGCGTAGCACCTAAGGTCTTAGATTTCCAATCAAACAGTGGCTCACTGCGTTTAAACCAAGCCATACCTAGGATGAGATCATATCTCGAGTCCAAATCTAGGACAAGACAGCGCTCAATACTGTCAAAATCTTTATACCTAAGTTCAATGGAATTTTAGGCACAGTTACGCGACTTCCAGTCGCTAAACGAACCGTGATCGAATCACCCTCATGCGCTGTAAGCGCCTCAGCAAAACGCCGACTTCCCTCAAGGGAACGGCGCCGAGCATAATTGCAAGACGCTCCAGAATCGATCAATATCGACCAAGGCTTCTCAAAGCCCTTAATTTTCGCCTCGGCGACCAACAAGCCGGACTTGTATCCACGCACCATACCTGTAGGCATGGTAATCTTTGGGGCTAAGACCTGCATTCCTTTACCTTCTAAAGGAGTAACAGAACCTAGTTCTTCCCCAGTAGGGCGCCCCGCGCCTACTGGGTGTCGGCATTTCCCCGTGCCATGCCAGACTTCTGCCTCGGGGTCGAGTGTTGAATCGTAGCCTGGCGTTGCTTACGCAAAGGGCAACCAGGCCGCAAGTGTTTAGTGCTTCCGCACGTAAAACATCGTCGTACGAAGTATTGCTGCTTAGCAGCTTGAAGCTCAGCTTCACCTCCATCTTCAGCATAGCTGAGATCCATCGGTTCCGGCCTATTATAGGTAGTGCTACCCGAAAATTTTGCTCACACAGAGCGAGGATTGTATCCATTCCAGCCAAGTCTGGCCGACTTTAAGTTATGCTCAGCATTAAGAGCAATTCTCACAGCCTCTTCAAACGTAGAGGGGTGAACCTGAAAAACCTCGGTTCTGGCAATGCCAGTACGTAGACCTTCCGTGAAGATAGTCACATGGACCGCTTCAGGCAGAGGGTCAGACTGCATTGCAGCCATGAGCGTTCGCAGCTCTTGGACATAGTCCGATAATTCATTCTTACCCTGGCGGGTAGAAAGAAAGCGTGAACGCACGCGGTAAGCCTGGTAAGGTGGAGAAAACACCTGTACCAATTATGACTTGAGCGACTCCCATGTGGGAAACGCTATGTCCACCGACGTGCTACACGTCAAGGCCCATTCTCTAGCTCTTCCATCGAGCTTCGAGATAGCCAGCGAGACCTGTTGATGGTCAAGCGTGATCAGGCCTGATCTCATGGCCATCTCAATCTCACGGATTCAGAGGATGAGGTTCTCACCCTCCTTACCGGAGTAGTTTTTCACTTCCACTCTAAGTGGACGAGGCTTACCTCTTCGTCTGGTACAGACACGTAGCGGGTAGGCATAGCCGACGCTATTTGGTCTTGGACCTGCCATAGAAGAATTGCTTCATACTGCATGAAGCTTTCAAAACGTGCATTAAGCACTTCAGGACCTTGTGAAACAAGGAACTCCACGTACTCTGGACCCAAAGATGCGGTCAGCTTATCAAGCGCGACCTTTTGGGCCTCAGATAGGGGAGTGAGGTTTGCCATCCTCACAGAGGATCAGTCTTAAAGATCCAGGCGTAGATTGACTACTAGTGCTACCAAGTGTAGCGGAGCTACACAGCTCCTTAAGTCAGTGGAAGACTTAACGCTCTACGAGCAACTTAGTTCCAAAGAACTAACGACTTTACGAGTCAACAAGCTTTACAGCTTCAGGTCCCTGTTCTAGGGGACCTACCGATTCAGTGAATCGACAGCACTCAGTGCTCAAGAGTAGCTACCTCAAGGAGGTGTTGCTAACTCTTAGTGATCAGTGATCAACGATCAAGACGGCTCGCAAGCCACGTGTCCTTTAGATCAAAATGAGAACTGATTTTATTTAATGTTAAAGGTTATAGAATATCTTAATCCTACTCAAAGATCTTTCGTACCTAATACATGACACTCGTCAGACCCTACAAACCAATAAGATATTCGATATCACCTTCACAAAGGGGTAACCTCAGGTGTGTAACACCTCTGGTACAAAGCATTATAATTTCGTGCAACCCCGTTACATATAGTCATCCATTTCGGGAATGTCATAGTGCTGCAGATCTCTGGATATAACTGGTGGCGCACTGGACCGGGAAGCGATTGTTTCGCCAGCGTACGCAACAATCCTTCAATACAGGTACCAGCAGACAAATCTACAGTCTACCGTTACGTAAAAAGATGATGTGAGGGGACAGGTTTCCGAACGACGTCTACAGAGCTGAGAGAGTACGTTAAACATTCAGCACATCGTTGCCACGACACGTCAAGTCAAGATCTTGACGAATAGGAAATATAGTTGCTTACCGAGCAGCGTCACTCAGTGTGAACGCAAAAAAAACAGCACTTTTTTGGGTTTCGTACATCGGTGCCTGCGGGTAATCGCGAAAAAGACAACATCGAAGGTCGATTCGGCAGTTATGGGTGCCATGCTCTACACATGCATCGAGATGCCGGAGCGAGAATCAAGGGACCACGAGTTTGAACGAATGTCAGCCACTACCTACCCCCATATCACCCCTTGGAGTTAGCATCTTGGATCGGGACCTACAGATGATCACGCACATTGGAAAACAACCTATCAAATAGACCACCTGACCACCGCTACCTGGAGGTACACCGTAACATAGGGTGTCTTCCGGTTTAAGGTTTTTAACCCGTCCAATTACGGAGCGGTAGTACTAGAGCATGTTACTGCCTTCTTCATTAGCCAATCACCGATAGTACTTAACGGGTGCCGGGCTGAATGTTATGGGGATGGCAAATTGTGGGTATGGGGATAAACCAAATTTGCTAGGTCAAGTCTTTCATCAATACTAAATGTCGGTATGTGTGTGTCACATTACCGTGAGTGCAGCAGGACGCGGGGCATTATTATTTTATCATTATCTGGGCACTTCTTTTTTCACGAGTTTATTGTAGTTAGAGCGAGAGTTGAAAATTGGGCAAATGATGTAAAATTGAGGTAAAATATGTAAGATGTTCCGTTGCATCAGACTGTGTGCCAGTGTCATGTCTTTGTGTTCTTCAGATTGTAAAAAAGTCTGAAATACAAGTGTATAATTTATGGCTGTTGGTAAACAGAGAGTGTGGGGATAGCAAAAAGCAGGTGTGTGGATAAACAATTTAATACTACCAGAACTTTACACCTCGTAGCGCCAGGACAGTGGCAGAATCTTTTTGTACGACCTCCATGCTGAAGAAAAAAATCTGTCCGCACAACTTATATACATAAAAATCTTGCTCTTTTCTCACTACATAAATGCTCTTGGTGCCAAAGACGATTCAATTCATTTACAGCTGGTAGCTCTCCAAATCTTACGCATGAATAAAGCTTGACATTTTTGGGCCTTCGTATGCAAACACGCTGTACTACATGATGTGTGTTTGAGTTTTGTGAGCTATCGTCACTTTTTCTCATTCTGGTGTCCCACGTCATGCGGAGCAGCCGATGAAAAGAATTGCATGTATATGGCTGAAGCTGTAAAGGCTTACATGACACTCACATTTGTTAGGATTCGTGGCAGCTGCATTGGCTTCGTTCATTCACAAGACAATTAAATGAATACAAGCTTTACGTGTTAAAGTAACTCGGAAAGCGAAACAATGCAACTGGTATTCCAGCGGTGCACACAGCGAGCTCCAGGGTTAATCTGTCTAGATCAACAACATCAACGTGATAGTCGCAAGACAGCTTGTGGCAATCATCTTGACGCTGCTCGTTGCACTTGAGGTGATACTTTCTCGAAGGTCGTTCGCAGTGGCGCCACCTGACGATTCCGTCGAACTGATAGCACTGCATTTTGCGTCAAACGCATCGGGTCCGTCGGAGATCAGGTGTGAGCTCGTCCCTACGATTCTGCAATCGCCGAGCCCCGTTGCTCTCATCTGTTCCATAAAGGCTGCGCAGGCCGGCGAGTCACAGAATACCTTGATCTCATCGAAGGAGAGATGGGACATGGTGGGACTGACTTTGGTACCCGTATCTGACACGCATTTGGCCCATTGGGGGCTGGACCCCAATTCGATCAGCACTTCCGTGGAGCAAACAAGTTCAGCTCTCACATTACCACCACCTAAAGCCAACAGGAGCAAAAGGGCAATAACAAATGGTGTCGCCATGAGTAGCTGAGGTGACTTCGAGAAGGCAATTTTAAGAGTGAACTTTGTTTCTGGGATCACCTTACAACTTGCCCTTCAGTTGCACACGATAGTTTGTACTTTTATTCTTCTTCAAAGACCTAGGCTGACTGCGATGGTCAACCGTACGACAATGTAGCTAGAACAGTATGCAGCAAATCCAACCAAGGCAGACTGCTAATGCCGCACTTCCGGGCATGATAGAAGATATTCACTAACATGTATGCATGTATGTCTAATGAGATTAGACAGCAGATTCTATCAATGTAGGGGCTGTCGGATGCGTCGTCAGCTGTTTTGTAATATAATCGCACGATCTTTCCACGTTGTGGATTTTCACTTCTGCACATGGGTATCTTAGCAGCTGGGGTCTTATGAACGCATTTATAAAAGTTTCAATGTATCAGACTATACGGCCGTCTCTTCCTTTTCTTCTCTGACACAAAACACCGGTCGTGAAGGGAACGACGATAGGCTACACATGTAAGATGATTTCTCTTTATGCGTACGGCCATAAAAGATCCCAAAAGGATCTCAATACCTTACGTTCATATCACTTTGTGTGGAGCGAGAGTGAGTTACTAATAAGGCGACAACGACAGAGCAAGGACGTATGGTAACCCAAACGAACATTTGCGGGCAGATCGTTCGAGTACACATGGTGTCTTCGGCCACGTGGATGTATAGTGCACGTATTGGTCGCGTAAACGCTTACTTTTTTGCAAGAATGTATCGAAGGCGAGAGCACGAGTTGACTTTTATGTTGGGATCCGAGAATAGGATTGCGTAAGTGTTCATGCTACAATGAGTGCGGTACTTGTAGCATTGATTGTTGTGTATGTGTCGTCAAACACGACGCGGACGACGTGCTGGATGATGCGCTGTCGAAATTACTGGATACCTAGTCAGCTGATCAGGTATCGCTTGCATTCATACGGAACGCGTGGAGATGTCTCATGTCACGACATTTAGCGCCTTTAAATGAAACCTCACCAAATTTATGTCGTCCATGGTTGCCAAGTAATTACCGTGCAAACGTCCTGGTCCGCAAGGATTATCCCCACAAAGTAGACGATATCCCTCTCTACCAAATACAATTAACATGAGAGTGTTCGCAGCTCACACTTACTGCAATTTTTATTGCAAGCAGGAGCGCTAAAGACTTCGTCATTAGATCACTGAAGTGAAATATTGGGTGAGGCTACTCCGTACTTTGAATTTTGCTATTCCGTACTGCAAACGGCGTCAAACGTTTTTACGAACAGCTAATTAGCTTAATAGCTGAATTATCTGTTTTTTGCTATAAATAGAAGGTCAGAGGTGCGAAGATCAAAGAGCTTCTATGGACTGGATTCAGTTCTGAGCCTTAGGGACGGGTTGAACATCTCCAACTGAAAGATAACCAATGTCCAAATAGATTTCTGAAGCAATAAGTGTTGCTGACTCGTCTAGCTAAGCCTGCTGTGACGACACCTACACCCGATAGTCTACCGAAGCTAGTATTTCAGCACAAGCGAGCTGCAACTTCCTGGACGCAACTGTGATTGATCATGCAGCGATTTCCGTCAACGTAATGGAACACCATCGTACAACTTGACTCGGTGTTGGCTCGCACTTTTCCTGGGCATCATTATCGGCCTCGTGCTCGTCAAAGCCGACTACACACCGTACCAAGTACTGAACTCAGCCGTGGTGTAACGGGGCACCCTTTGTAACGGGGTCACACTAGCCTTTGGCTAAATTGGTCAAAGACCTCCCATAAATGAAATGGATGAATGTGTGTGACCTTAGATTTTATATCAGCAAGAGAATATCGATTGATCAATATTCCCAGGTTTACGGTACTTACCGTGTACGTACTTTGTACCGTCATCATTTGATGACTGAGTGATGTTCCAACCATCCATTCAGTTCGAATACTAACATTTGTACTAGTTCTATTTTAGTATAACATAGGGTACTTAAAGTAGGATGTTTCTTGATATAAAATCTAAATAAAGTTCAGTTCTCATTTTGAGCAGAAGTCCCTAGACTCCCCCCTTTCGCACATTATGCCCTGCAGTTCCTTAGAACTGACGTAGCTTAGAGAGTCCTTAGACTCCTATTCCCCTGCACATTGTGCTTGTGCTTCTCTAGAACTAAACAGTAGTTGAGCTGTTAGCTCGTAGAGTCCACCCGAGTTCCGTAGAACTGAGTGAATCTTTAACTTGATATAATAGTTCTGTAAAACTAATAGGCTGTAGTCAGCCGTAAGCCGTTGGCTCGTAAATTTAAGTGTTCCTCTGACTTAAAAAGCTGTGTAACTTCGCTACACTTGGTAGCACTTGTAGTCAATCCTACATTTGAGTCGTTTCGACTGACCCTCTGTGAGAGATAGAGGGTCTTGACTACCTCTCTGAGACTCAACGTATCGCGCTTGATAAGCTCAGATCGTTGACAGGGGTCGAGCAGGTCGATCACATTGTGGCCCAAGGCCCAGAAGTGCTTAATGCACGTCTTGATGCATTCATGCAGTTAGAGGTTACGCTGATAGGGTAGGTCCACGAACATTTAGCCTCAGCCATACCTACACGGTAATTTCCAGTACCTGGCAGTGAGTCAATTACTCGTCCGCTCACTCTTAGCGTTGAAACTTTCGAGGGAAAAGAGGTGGAAAGTCTCCTCCTCTGGATCCGAGAAATCGATATGGCTATTGAAGCCGCCTTGCTTCAATCGGAGCGACAGAAAGTTGGCCTAGCCATTTCTAAGCTCGGTGGTAGAGCCAATAAATGGGCTCTTACCTGTGATTCGTCGGTTAGCGCTGCGTTCCCCACATAGGATTCGCTTAAACGAGAGATGGCTCGGGTGTTCGCGCCACCGAATTTAGCGTATCGTGTTCGCTCTCGATTCCTGGCCGCCAGGCAGGGAAAGAGAGAATTATCGGACTTTGTCCAAGAGTTGCAAACTCTCGTAGCTGCTATGCAGCTGAACCCTCTTCCAGAGCAAGTCCGTGTCACCATTTTTATGGAGGGCCTTCATACGGTGTTCGCGAGGACGGAAGAATTCCGCGTCCACCCCTCAACGTTTAAAGGGGCCGTATACATAGCGTTGAATGCTATATTCAACTTTAAAGCCGCTCGCTCTGGCACTCATGGACGAGCCCAAAGATCATTTGACGGGGCTAAGCCCATGGACCTCAGCCATGCTGAAGAAAACGAGATAGATCTTTTGGCTGCTGAGCAGCAACGTAACATCCACGGATGTTACAGGTGCGGGAGCACCAAGCACTTGCGCCCTCAATGCCCACTGCGAAGCCAAGTCAAAATCGGCCAAGCCGAAATTCGCCTTTTAACCCGAAAGTGGGTACGGAGCAGGAAAACGGCAACTCGCAGAAAGACGCGGGGCACCCTACTGGGGAGGAAATAGGTTCTGCCGAATCTTTAAATGGTAACGATAGACAGGGCTTAGCCCCAGACGGTCTTGTGAAAGTTTCCGCGAGACTTAATTACAAGACAGGCTTGTTAGTGGCATCGGCTTCGAAGAGCCGTGGTCAATATTAATTGACTGTGGACAGTCAGGAAACAACGATCGACGCCGGTCCCTAGAGAGATGTCAGCAAGATGCTGAGGCGCTGAAAGCGCATAAGTTTGATGTTTACACTGTTCGCTTAGTGACAGGTACTCGTGTCACCGTACCTAAAGTTCCGTTAAACTCAGGTACGAAATTTTTTTAATTTTGATAGAACGAACGTTGTATTGTCTCGGACTTCGACTCGAAACATAAAATAATCATTGGGATGGCTTGGCTGGAACGTTATGAACCTTGTACTGATCGGAGGTCGAAAAACTTAGGCTTAACGCGCAATATTCCTAGTGAAGCTTTGGAGAGTCATGAATCCTTCTTTGCTAGGAAACTAAAGCACTAGTGGCACGAGCCACTGACGGAACCTGTTAGTGTGCTGGACATTGGAGTGTCTGAGCTAGTTAACTCTGATGTCATTGACAATAGTGAAACGGCACGTATTTCGTTGAGTGACACTAGTAGTGACGGTGAATCACTGAATGCTGGAAGCATTGATGGATTAAATCCAAGTTATCCTGGGTGTGATCCCTGTGCTGCGCGTGGAGTGGCACGTTAACATCCACAGAGCGAGGTCGGCTGTGATGGCTCCCCACAATATGTCGGTAATGGCATCGTTGGCAATGTACCAAGGCATCAAGAGCTATGCTCAAAAGATGCGTGTGGAGTGGCAGGTAAACATCCACAGAGTGAGGTCGACCGTGATGGCATCCCACTAAATGTCGGTAATGACACTGTTGGCAATGCGCCAAGGCATCAAGAGCTATGCTCAATAGATGCGAATGTAGTGGATAACTGTCCACAGAGTGAGGTCGGCCGTAAGGGCACCACACTTATTGTCGTCACGACATTGGCTCTCAGGGAGAGCAGGTTGAGGTTGAAGATAATCTTCGCCTCGTGGAACCGGATGTTCCTAACACACTGAAGTGTTCATTCTATGCACAGAGACGAAAATGAAACCAGATGGCGGCTGTAAATAGAAAGGCTTCTGCCACGACCCAGAAGGACACTGGTGAACAGTTGTACACGTTAGTCAATGGGGTGTCGGGTGTGATTGATGGAGAAGTGGGCCTCGAGGCTCTCCGATCGATAACCGCTCATCTAGAGCTAGACGAAATGTCTGTAGAAATATTTCATCAAGCCTTAAAACTGGTGCTTTGTCCGATATGGTGGCCCTTAGACCTGACCTTGAGTTGAGCTCGTCGTCCCTTGTAGATAAAACAGTCCTTGAGGACACTAAAGTTGCACTCAGTCCTCGCAGTGGATCTGTCATTTTGAAGGATCCTTCGGATCCTTTCAATCCTTTGGTCAAGGAATTTCAAGACGTGGTGTGTCATGATCCACCGTACACTCTATTTCCCGACAGAGGTGTGCGTCGTAAAAATGGACCTGGTCTTTGGAACCAAATACTGTGTCACACGGCA